CCCCCCAACCCCAACTAACACCATGTTTTCCACAGAGAACCTGCCAAATTCATGTTTAGGGAATAAATGTGTCAGTGAACAAGTTATTTTTTCATTAAAAATTAATTCCTCCCATACTCATGAATAAGCCAAGCAATTATACTTTTAATTCTACAGAACAGTAGGCTAAAAGTCATAAAGACATCTAAAAATTAATCATCTTTTTTATTTTACTGCTGGGTTCTTTCACATTGCCAATGAAATTCCTATTCCATTTCCTCATGAACTTGTTCTACAACACTAAATAAGATAGGTTTCCCAGTTTTTTTCAGGAAACTTAGACAGCATTGGCTATTGCGGTCAGTGGTGGATCACTGTTACAAGCCGCCCTCTCCTTGCAGGGGAGATCCAGGCTGGATTCCCAGACGATGGGCTTCACGGGAAACCACCTGTCCCTGGAGGCTTGTGAGAAGCTGTGATGCTGACTAGCCAGCTTCAGGGAACTTCCTAACGAAGATGGATCAGGAAGGAATGTCTTGCGATCCAAACAGGAACTCCTGCTCATGAAAACTGCGTGGATTTCCAAGGATCAATCTGAGCTAACTTATCTTGCTGGTCAAAGGAACAAGAGTGAAATCTCAATATTATTATGGAAGGGGAAGACAAAACTTAGTTTCCCCAAGCCCTCCACTACTTAGCACACGAATCTTCCGAGCGGCTGTATCAGGGACTAGCACTTGAACTGGCCATGGCCTTGGCTCGCTCTTCCTTCAATGCTTCCTCATAATAGTCTGGGAAGGCACTTGGAATAGTATCATTAACCTGAGCCCAAAACTCTATGAATTTCATCTTGCTCGTTTCCTCATGGGCTCTTGGACCCCACAGGAATTCATAAAGAGCAGGATGACAGTTGGGGACCCGGCGATATTCCAGGTACTTTGCCTGCACTAACTCTTGGGTGAGGAACTTCCTGGGCTCCCCATAGATAGCATGCTCAATCCCAGGATACACCCCTATTCTACTCAGCACTTTCCAGACCCTCTCCTCAGTGGCACAGTTGCCCTCTCTGAAGATTGTACTCAGGACAACCATCAGGAGCCCACCCTTGGGCACGCCATGGTCATTCTTCAGGATCCCCTCACAGGTGAGGCCGAGGGTACTGCAGAAGACATAGCCATTGTCAAGATGATCATCTTCCTTCACAGTGAGGCCAAAGACGAGCTCTATACACTCACAGGCTCTCTGGAATATTATAGGGAAGCAGGCCTCATATCCTTCAACAATCCTGTGCATATCTATCTTTACGGTGGGCTCCTTTGTCTGATACTTGGTGAGCAGGAACTCCATCATTTCAGCCACCTTGCCTTCTATTGAAGGCGTGAACAAGGATTCACTATTTGGCTCATCGCCAGAACTTGAATTCCCCTCTTCCTGGGTGGATTCTTCATCGACTGTGATCAACACACTGGAAGTGGTGGTGGTTTGCTCAGGATTTTGGGACTCACTTGGTGTCCCAGGAGCAGACAGCCCTACAGCTGCTGAATTCTCATGAGAAGAGGGGGCAGCTGCTACGTGTTCTTCCACTTCATCCTGAGGGCTCTGCTCAAGTGTGTAGCGCTGACGCTTTGGGCGATAAACACCTGACATGATGGCTCTTCTTGGGAGCTGCAGACAAGACCTTGTGCTGGAGGGTGGTGAGCGGGAGTCCACAAGCCTAACAACGAGAGAGAGATGGTGAGCGGCTGCTGCTCAGAAACTCAACCTTGCCAGTTCTGCCCAAACCCAAGTGCCTTGTAAGTAAGTTTGTTGAGGTTTCCACTAGGGGCCCCATCTCCTGTCCACTTAGGTCAGCCTGTGCCCTAAGGCAAGGAAGAAGGAGCACCGCTCTTCTGGCTACGTGGACAGCCAGAGGCTTCCAGGGATGACTGTAGGGCAGGCCGGGTCAGTCCCTGTGGCATCCCCTCAGTTCTGTGGTTGTGGCACTGTGTCTCACTAAATAGGCTTCTCACCTGGACTCCTGGCAGTTCCTGGGTCTCCCGGACTCTGCTGGTCTGAGGATGTGGGCCTGAGACCAGCAGCCTCACCTCCTGAGCCTGTGAAGGGAAATAGCAGGGCAGCTGAGGCCACAGACTGGGAAGACAGCCTTGGCCCTCGCAGTGCTGGCAAGAGATTGGCCTGGACTCTGTGAGATCCCCATAATTTGGGAGTAGGTAGTCTTCTCAGTGCTAACTTGTGTCTTCAGCTCCCCCTAGAAGTTGAGGGGCGGCGAGGAGTGGTGTCAGGGACAAAACTCTCAGAACAAGAGCTTCCATTTCTGAGCCTAATGTAGGTGGAGTGAGGTGATACCATGCCCTGGGTCCCCCAAGGTGTGGCAACAAGGGTGGAAGAGAAATATGGCCTCCACGACCTTGTATTAAGAAAAGGGTCCTTTTCATTCCTTATGCTTAGGCATGGATTCCATTGGCAATAAATAATCCACTCTAACCTCAGCCCAGATCCTTCCCCTCTCTGAGACCACCAAGATGGGACTGAGGGTGGACCATACAAGACTGTGGCCATTAAGTTCCAGTACCTCCCAGAGTGCTCAGCAGGCAGGGGAGGGAAAAGCATGGTGGAGTGCCCATCTGTCCCAGGGGCAGAGCTCAGTTCTTCCTTAGGTCCATGTTTACACAGCTAGCAGGGTACTTCCTTCATTGAACCTGACCTAGGTCCTCATCTCCCCCAAACCCAGAAGACACCCAATTCCGGAAGCACCCCATCCAGTCGTCCCTTCCCAGGTTTCCCAGTGATGGGAGGGGCTGCTGAAATGTGCTCTAGGATGACTGTGCCCTTAGTCCTTCCTCATGCGGTTTACTCCTTTCTCCTGGCAAGCTTGGCCCCCGCCCATTTTGCCTTGATGTTGTCCCCTTACGCCAAGACCTCTCTGCGACATTCACCCCACTCTAGGCAGGGCAGAAGTGAGAGTGCACCACGTCTGGACAGCCCTGCCTAGGGGACACGTGGGTCCCGTGGGTGTGTATCTAGTTTTCCTTTTCTGGAAAGGGTTACCTTTGGTTCTCCACAAGGCCCTCAACCCGGCTTCCACCAGGGATGGGCCTGCAGCCCCGGTCGTTCTGCGGTTCTTCAGTGCCTCAGTATCCTTACCTTAGTCCTGCAGAGCCTCAACAACTCCCTCTTCGGATCTGGCTGTAGTAGCTTCTGGGTATCTCTTTGGATAAAGCTTTCTCCTCCTTGAAACATTAGGGAAAAAAAAGGAGGCATCATGGCAAGTCCCTCTTGTCTGGGTTCTTGCAGTGACGTGCTGGTGGCTATCCTGGGCCCCTTCCCATCCGCTGACTCAGCTATATGCCTCTCAGACCAGCACCTACTCTCCTGAGACCTTCAACAAAGGTGTAAAGTGTGGTGTCCCTGCTTGACAGCATGCAGTACGAGCAGGGGGACTTGGGGGCATTTTCTTGGTCTCCTGGCAGGACCTGCACTGCTCCTTCTGTTGGCCTGACTCTTTCTCCCCTCAGCCGAAGCCACAGTTCCTCAGACTCCTAAGGCATAAGCCCAGAAAGAGCACGTCCAGGGAGCCTGCTTCAGGTTACCAGGACTGACGGCAGGGCTGGGGTGGAGGTAAGCACTGAGTGAAGAAAGGAGGAGAAGGGCGGTGCTGAATGGAGTTTAGCCTCTATCTGTGGTCCTCCCTTAGAGACCTGTCTCCTCTCTGTGATGCGTCAAGCCCCAGCTCCTCTTCAGACCATTGGTGCAAGTTAGAAACCTCATCTTTAGGGACCCTGCCTAGAGTTTCCAGAGACTGAGTGCAAGAGCAGCATTAGGAGGAGGGTCATGGCTAGGGAAGATAAGAGTTAGGAGAAATTGCTGTGCACATGAAGGGGGTTGGTGAAGGAGCTCTGCGGGACAAGGATACAAGACCCATCTGAGCTCAGGGTCCTCACCGTGTCCTCTGGATATACCAGGGCACCTAAGAGGAAGCCCCACCTCTGACACCCCTAAAGGTGCAAACCAGCAAACTCCACATCTAGGAACCCTGCCTGGGACTTCCAAAAGCTAACAACAGAGACAGGAAGGGGGGTATAGCATAGAAGAGGGAGCCCTGATTGAGGGAGAGGGAGGAGATAAAGAGGGGGAGGCACACATCCTGGTGGGGGAGCTGAATGGAGAGTGGCTCTATTTACAGGTTGATGTGAGACTTCCCCCATCCTAGGGGGCCTCACCTTGGCCTATTAATGCCTAGAAACCTCCTTCTGCTGATCTAAGTATGGGATCCTCCCTTGGTGCTTCACCAGAGATACCCACTGCGCAAGTCAGGAAACACTACATCAGGGGCCTCTGTGAGGCGCCCCAGGTCCAACAACAGAGGGAGGGCCAGGTGGGGTCCCAAAGGGCTTGGGGTAGGGAGGGGTGGTGAAGGGAAGGAGGAAGCAGTGCCCCAGAGGGGGTTGTGGGGTGGAGGGAGGGGACCTCTACATGCTGGGCCCTCCCTTTGCCCCTCCCCCACCTCCTCAGGAACCCTTCCTTCTGCTGACCTCAGTCTGGCCCTTCAGAGGAAGCCAGTGCCCCTGTGCCTTCTAAACAAGAGGCAGGGCAAACTACATCCAGAACCAAGCTGGGGCATCCCAGGGTTCACAGCAGGGGCAGGGCAACTGGAGTAGGGAGGGGGTGAGGAGGATGGGGGCACAAGGTAGAGGGCGCTTCTACCTGTGGGGAAACCTCTCTGTCCTCCCTCAGGTTTTTCACGTGGCCCCCCACCTCCCTATGGGGCCTGGACTCCCTCTCTGCAGGTACACTGACTTCAGGGACCTTCAGATGGAGCCTCATATCCGTCAATTTCCCAAGGTGCAAAGCCGGAAACGCTACATCGGGACTGTCTAAAGTTCCAATGGCAGAGGCTTTGAACTTCCTTCCCAGGTTGGGATTGGAGGCATGGATGGCGATGGGGGTGGGGTGGGGGCTGTCCTTCTCTAAGTATATTTACTCCTAAAAGGCCTGTCACCCATTTCTTCTGCAATGCTCACCAAGGAGCCACCTCCACCCACCACCCATCAACTCGAGACTCCCAGGGGATAAAGGGAAGGTGGCAGTTGAACAGTTTCCCCGGAGACTCCTAGCATTCGCAGAAGGGCAGGTTTCTGTGGGGTCCTCTCTGGGTAAGAGGTCACCTCTATCCACGTTCAGGGTGCTCATATGATCTTCCGCATTGGGAGGCCCTCCCTCTGTTGACCTGACTCCAGGACTCTCAGCCACAAACCCGGGAGACTCCGGGTGTGGTACGAGTCCGGAAATGCTACATCCAGAACTCAGCCTGGGATTTCCTGGTCCTGAGGTGGTGGCTGTGGGGAGAGCAGGGCTAGGTAGGACCAGAGCAGGCTAGAGCCTGGTAGGGGCAGGGTGGGGCATGGTGGGGTGGGATGAGGCAAGGCTGTGAACCTGCCCTCCGGAGGAGGGTAGGAAAGAGGGGGTGGGGTTGATCCCTTACTACTCCTCAAAATGATCATTCTCATTTATTCTGACAAAGGCCATCACCTATGCACTTTGGAAGCCATCCAGCCAAGCCCCCATCAAATTGAGACCACAGAGAGAGAAAAGGAGGGTAGCGTTTCTGGTTACCACAACAAGGGATCATCAACCTTAAATGGAGGATGGGTCTCTATGGGAGCCTCTCTCCATAGGAGATTATCTCATTCCTCCATCAGGGTTCTCCCTTGGGGCGCCTCTTTCGACTGACCTGAGTGCGGGACCCTCAGCTACAGCCACTCATCCCTAAGGGGCAGGAGATGCAAGTCTTGAAACACTACATCCTGGGACCCAGTCTGGGATATCCTGTCCCAGACAGCCAGACAAGGTAGGGCGGGGCCAAATAGGGGCGAGTCAGGTAGGGCAGGGAGGGGTTGAGAACCTGCCTTCTGGGTGGCAGATAGAAAAGTGAGGGAATACTTTGGATCCCTCACTCTTCAAAGTGATGACATTTATCATTAAAACAACCATCACCCCTCCCTTCCCTGGGAAGCCCCCAAACAAATCAACGCCCCAGGGGAAAGAAGAGAGGGTGGCACCTCAGGGGACTCCACCAGCACAAGAGGGCGAGTTTCTGTGGGGTCACCTCTCATTGGGAGATCATCTCCTTCCTCCCTCAGGGTTCTGATCTGCCCTTTGCCTGTTCCCCATTGGGAACACAATTCTCTACTGACCTAAGTCCAGGGCCCTCAGCCACAGCCACCTTGTCTCAAGGACAGGAAAACCAAATGCGGAAGCACTACATCTGGGGACCCAGTCTAGGATTTCCTGTCCCAGAGGGCCAGGCGTGGCGTGGCGGGGCCGGGTGGGGCTGTGGACCTGCCCTCTGAGCTCAGAGCTTAGGAAAGGGAGGTGGTAGGGCGGATCCCTCACACCACTGAGAAATCACGTTTTCTCCACAATGGCCATCACCCCTCACTTCCCTGGCCATCAAACCAAGCCCCCATCAACTGGATATCCCAGGGGAAAGAAGAGAGGGTGGCACCCTGGGGGGGGGCTCCGCCTCAGCAGGAGGGCGAGTTTCTGTGGGGTCCCCTCTCCATTGGACGTCATCTCCATCCTCCCTCAGGGTCCTCATCTGCCCTTTGCCTGTTCCCCATAGGGAACACCATTCTCTACTGAACTAA